AATATGACTAAGATACTGAACTTAAGAATTTGTTGCCTGTATAGCAACATGCGTCTCTGGTACCTCTGCGTATGGAGAACTCTTCTGATTAGCATTGAAGATTTGACCAGATTAGAATTTAGTTTGATTTATGACCCTGTTTATTTTCCCATTTTGTTTTTAGTGGTTATTGATTTAAAACCCCCACCATGTACGTATACTGGATTTAGATGCAAATTAATTAATCAATCAATCTTATTTCACAGTGTCTTCACCCCCCCTCCCACCCCTCCCCCCCCGAACCGTAAATTTGCTTGGAAAATCCTGCCATCTCAGCATTAAAACTGATATTAATTTTTAATGGAGTTGTCCTAGAAAGTACTGAATATGCTGCTTCATAAGCAGAAATCAAAAGTGTGAAGGGTAATAAACGAGAATCTGAAAGTAGCTTTCCAGGTCCATATTTAGAGCCTTAAATAAGTGACCTGATTTTCCAAAGGTGCTGAGCAGCCAGCCATGCATGTGAATTCCACCTGAGTTCTCAACTGCTCAGCGCTTCCAGAAACAGACCTGTTACTCGGGGTCAGCAATTCAAAATTTTTAAAAAGCTTTTTCGGTATGTCTTAAAGTTGGCCAATTTTATTAAGTTGGGTGCCTAAAGTACTGTTCTAGGACATCCCCATTTTGCCTTATGTCACCTTCATGATTTAAGTTTTGGCAGAGGAAAGCCTGGCTTACGTAGCGAGGTCACTGAGGGACCCGCGATGTTGGCTGGCAGCCTTGTTGCGCTCTCGCTTGGCTGTGAACTGACTCTATTTTATGTTGCGAAGTTCAGTATTTAGGAAACAGAAACCGCGGTTCTACTGCAGGTTTGGCAAATCCTGTTCTTAGCCAGAAGGTTTTTACTATTTTTTCACCTCTTTTTAGATGAAAATGGTGCATCTCTGGAAATACTGACAGATGTCTTTTTTGTATCAAAACCCAGACACAATATTTAAACATGAGCCTGAGCTTGGATAGCAAAGTATTTTGTTAATTTATCCTACTGCATATTTTCACTGTATGTATTTCTCTTCTGCCTGTTGTTGCAGTTTATCTTACGTATAAGTAGTTTTCTGTGGTTTTGCAGCATATTGAACAAAAATTGGTCATATTAGTACATAGTTTATCTCTGATGCTCCTTGAGACAACACGTTAAGGGACAGATCATCAGCTAGCATAGTCAAAATAATTCCTTTTTTTTTTTTTAACGTGACGATACAAATTTCTGGATCCATGTCTTCCACTTACATGCTAGTCCATTGTTGCTTTCTTTTTCTTCACTTGCCACAAAACACCAGGCACAATATTTTGTCGTAGTGTTTTTTTTCAAGTAATAGCTGTAAACAGCATCTATTCATAAATAGCAGAGGCAAAGCTCTCCCTTGTTGTTGTTTTTTTTCTTGGTATTTTAGTAATGTAAAACTACCTCTGGGGATGTCGGAACTAAAGTCACAGTAAACCTACTTTTCTTTTCAACATCTTCCCCAATTACGTGTTCCCGTTGAGCCAATTTGTATGCGAAACAAACAAGACGGCAATGTTATGTGCAAGAATGTGTTGTTATTTCTTAACTTTATTTGGTGTGAGTTCTGTGACTTGGGAACCAGCAATCTAAGCAGTAACATAAAAATGCAGAAGTGTTTCTGCTTTTATTTTTGCAAATTATAGCAGTAATATACAAAGCTAGTAAAATTCATGCTATAGGGTATTAGAGTGCAGAAACTTGCTAATACTATGTTGTAGCCTTATCTTTTGACAGGATAAAATTATAATCAGGTTATAAAATTTCATGTAGTAGTTTTTGTGTTGTGTAACACTTACTGGGATGTTGTGAGGGAAAGCTAGATGCAGTTAAAGGTTTTGTAAGTCAGTGACATTGCTTGGAGATGATATAATTTTCCAGAATCTTATTCTATTTGAGAAAATGATCTTTGATTAAGAAGGTATTTTCTTTTTTTTTTTTTTTTTTAATTTTTTTACTGTGTAAAAGTAAAAAATTGTAGTTTCTGCTTCAGAATTAAATGTTTTCCTATGAGGTGCAAATGGGATTGCTACAAAACCCAAAGAGGTTCAAGTTGTTACTTTAATTCAAGGAACTATGAGAAAAATGTCATTTTTTACAAGTCAGCTTTTGTTATCAGTGTTAGATCTTTGTTGGCAGTTATGAACTACCAGGTGGGGTTTTTTTCAGGTTTTGTGTGAAGGATTCAGTTTTGTAGCTAATACCTGATTGCAGGATTGGTAGTTACTTGTAAAGAGCTATACAAGTAATATATAAAGTTGTGGGAACAGTAGAAGCTCAGGCAAAATCCATTGGATTGGCATTAGGCCTTTATGGAAATTCTCTGGATGAAACTGTTGAAAGAAACAACAGAGACATGAGAATCCTGCCACCTAACTCGTCTGTGGCACTCAATTGACAAATAGAATAAAAAATGCCTATTGCCAGCTCTGTGGTGAAATATTTAAATTACAGTTTTTCATATGACTTTCAGTGGACCCTAGTTTTAAAATTTAATACAAAGTAGAAAAGCAGAACACCATGTAGAGCTTATAACCTTACATTTGGTAAGGTACTAGGTTAATTTACTGGAAAAGTAGTTACAGCTTGCTTCAACACCGACTGGCTAGTCCCTGAAGAAGGTATTGTCTAGTCACTGAGCAAGAATTTAGAAATCCAGGTGATGTTGCATACCTCTGACACCACAGAAGGCCCAATTCCTTAAACAGTTACTCAGTTTTGTAATTAGCTAAAAGGGATCACTAATCAATGAAATTGATTTGAACAGAACACAAATTTGAATGAGAAAATGAGTTTCTGTACTTGATTTCTGTAACAGTATACATTGCTAAGACTGGAAGAGAAAAATAGGATTGATGTGTAAGAACTGTGATTGCTGCCAAACACCGATGCCTGCATTTTGGCACTTTAATGCGCATAAAAATGGGTTTGATTTTTAGATGTGATGGGCACTCACAGCCTCTCACTGGAGTCAGCCATCCTGAGTGATGTGAAACCTTCTACTGTTATTTTTTATAGTTGTGGGTTCCTAACTTTAGATAGAAAAATGTGGAAGTATTTGCTATGAATATGAGTTAAGATGTTTTCTGACTTCTGGCAAGTTTGGCAGTGGTGAAGATGCAACAGAACTGATTTTCTTTTGAACCTGAAAATGTCAAAATTAACTGTTTAAAAGTCAGAAGTAAAAAACTTTTACTGAGGTCACAAACTCCTGTCTTATCCTCTTAAAGGTTTGAGTTTGTTTTGCTTTGCACTGTCAGCCACTCTTGACATATAACTTCAGGCATATGACTGCCTGAAAACTGGGGAGAGATTTGGGCTCATCTTTTCTCCACTGGGTCCTCAGCCCTCACAGGATCGTTCTCTGTTCTCTGGGCAAGGTGGAGCAGTAATAACAGCAACAACTCTGAAATTTTCAAAACCATCAGCGTCCCGCTTATTTTTTAACGTATGCATTTTGCGAAGTTTCTGCAGCTTTAGGAGAAGCAGTAGCAGTAAAAGCGAAGAGTGGTGTGTCGCAGCAAAGGCTGAAGGACCCCCACACCTCATGGACAATGCTGGCTTTTGGGACGCGAGCCAAGTTGGCGAAAGCAATTTTACGTGATTTCTTGCGTGTCATTCTGACTAGCGCTTCCCGGGCTTGGGCGGCAGCCAGCAATTATTTTTCCCCAAATGCACCTCTGTAACGTTTCTCAAACGGACCTCGGTAAATGCAGTCTCCATCGGGGCACGCCGTCATTTGCCCGTTGCCTTGCACGTACAGCGCGAGGCAGAGCGCCGAGCAGGGCGACGGAGCCGACGCGGGCCGATCCGAGCCGATCCGAGCTGAGGAGCCGATCCGAGCCAAGCCGAGCAGATGTGAGCAGAGCCAAGGGGCGCAGGCAGCAGGCCTGAGCGGCGGGTGCCCTTGGCGTCGTGGCGCGGAGGTCGCAGCACGTGTGGTGGTGCTTCTGCCGGGGCGGGAGGCCGGAGGCAGGGAGGCCGTGCAGGCGAGGTCTCAAACAAGGGAGCCCGACGCTTCTGGCCTGTCTCCAAACGCAGCAAACGCTAGGCCAGGACCCTTCGAGTTCAGCGGCGACGCTTCTGACGTCTCTCCGAACGCAGCAAACGCTAGGCCAGGACCCTTCGAGTTCAGCGGCGTCAGGGGAACCCTAGCGAGGAACGGAGAGCCCCAGCCGCGGGGGTTGCTGAGGGGCGGACAGACAGACGGTCCTGGTGATGGCTGACAGACGGGTCCCGTGCCCGGACTCGTGGCTGAGGCTGGGGGGCGAGTCCAGCCTCTGCAGCCAGGGGCGGCCAGCCCACTTGGCAGGTGTTTCTGGTCGTTTCTCCAGCAGCCCCTCTTACCCACCAGTACCGAGCTGCTGGGGACTGGAGCGGCCCAGTCTCGACCGGGCGCTAGCCAGCCTGTGCCCGCCCGTGTCCCGCCGGTGAGGGTGAGGAGGAGGAGAAGGAGGAGGAGGAGGAAGGGCGGGCGGCGCCATCCCACCCCGTCCCCCCCGCCGGGGCCGCCGCGGCGGGAGGAGGGTGCGGAGCGGCCTCTCCTGCTGGCCCAGGCGGCCGTGCGGCCCGTTGGCGGCGGCCTCGGAGCGGGAAGAGGAAGGCGAGGACGGCGGAGTTGCTGCCGGGGTTGAAACCAGCGCGCTGGCACGGCGGTGGTCGCTCCTTGGTGGCCGGCCTCGTCTGGCGGCCGCGGGTAATCCCGCCTCGCTGCCTCTGTGGCCGCCGGCTGCAGGTGCCTTGGGCCTGCGCTCCTGGGAGGTTCAAAATGCAGTGGGGAATGGATGCGTAGGATACGTACGCAGGTAGGGCGAATACGTCTTCGAAGGTCGTCTTGTGGGTGGCCCGATTGAGGAGCGGAGGTCTTGCTGATGAGCTACAGGGAGTGCGTCGCAGGAAGTACAAAAAAGGTTTTCTTGGTTTGGGTGGAAGCAGTACGGAACCGCAAAAACGATGAATGGCCCTGGCAGCGTCAGCAGCCTCTGACTACATCTGCAGACGGAAAGAAAGTGTTCCCCTTCGCTCAGAAGCGGTCGATGCGGTACGTCTTTTATATCTACTGCAGTATCACAATAGGAACATTTCTCTGTAAGAGGTACCATTATACCCTAGCTTCACATGTTTCTGTTGGTAATCAACCAGTTACCAATTTTTCTAGAGGAGCTTCTGGGTTTTAAACTACTGCTGGAATTCTGTTGTTGTTTAAATTGTAGTGAGCTTTCCTAATTCCTTCAGACTCCCTACAGCCTTTTAGCTCCAGCAAAAGTTCACTCTGTGGCGGACAGGCGGTTCCTTTTTCACAGCAATTCACTCTTTGCTAGTTCCATGCTTTGGAGTAGTAAATCTACTTTTAGAAATAGTGCTAGCTTCTGAGCTTTGAGAGGTACTGTGGAGAATATGGAGGTTTCTGTAGTCATGCTTTTTTGTATTATTTTTCCTTGATTCAATAGAATACAAGACTTTTGTTTGTTTGTTTGTTTTTTTAAGGAGACCAGAAAAAAGGCTATTATATTGAGTAAAACATATTTCAGTGAAGTACTATAGTTTATGTGTGCCACTCCCCTCTAGTGAATAGAAGTGGAATTACCCCATCTCATGCGATGCCATGGTCCCCCAGCTGCAACCAGATTATGGAAATTTTCTTCAACTTTCAGTCACAGAGAGTTGTCTTTTTTGGAGTTGAACAATATGAACTTTTTTCTGCTTTCTCTATTAAGGACAAAGCAGATCTTCATTGCAAAGCATGCCAAGTTTGCTAAAATCAGTCGTTTGCGCACACATAATGCCCAAATAAATACAAAATGAACCTCAACGACAGCAAAACTGTATTAGTTTTTACTGCTGTGTCTGCATATCACTGGATTTGAGTAACAGTTTCATGCTTCTTGCCCCAGGTTACATACACACATTTATTTTAATAATGTTTCCTTTTTTCTTGATTGTTGAATATATATTTATATAGTAATTTTAAAACCTCCATATCAACAGGTTGATATTTGCTTTATTAAACCGTTAAGTAATTGATACCAATGCTGGAGTGGTTTGGTCACAGGTGGGTGTGGAAGCCAAGGTAAAAATGTCAATCCATGTATTTTCCCACGGACATTTTTGTTGAACAGGTAAATATTCTGCTGGAAAACAGAGGAAAAAGATGGTGTGTACGTGATAAATATTCTGTCAACTGTCAGTTAACAAGATATCAAGTGTGGGATTTCTCTGGCCAAAGGCCAGTCATACAGCTCAGTAGTCACCCTAGTCTGTCCTTATCACCCATAGAGAGAAATACATGCATTTCATTCTCCGTTCGTCTCTCAACGTACACAGCTAAAATATGCTCGTGCTCAGAAGCTGATTGTTTCTATTGACTACGCGTTACAGACATCTCAAGCTAGCATGAGGTGAATCCTGTATGTGGTGGTCTAAAAAAATCTCTTTGTGTCTGCTGCTTTGCTCATTAATTGTGCCATTTATTGGCATAATAAATGTGTCATTAATTGGTGGTACTGCTGAAAACAACTTCTGCTTTCACACTGGCAACCGAAGTTAGTCCATTAGAGTTGCAGAGGCTGTGAAGGTCTCATTCTTAGCAAAGTAAGTAGCCCAAAGAAGTCATGTAAGATGTAGAAGTAGTGAACCCTACATCAACAAAAAATTTGATGTGAGGCAACTGTATGCTGAAATATGTTTCATAGAAAAAAAACCCAAACCATGGATCCAAAGTTGTTTTCAGTCATACCTAAGAAATGCAGAGGTATGCCCAAGAGCGGCATTTGCTCTATAGAACTTCATGTTTATATATCATACTCACACATTAAAACTGGCACTAGGCATTCACTTACATGAAGCCTAAAGAATGGCAAGTGTGTGCACGTAGCTGAGAGGCCAATGTAACACCTTTCCTTGCTTTCCTTTTGGGATCATTTTGCATTTCACCTCCTTGCAGTTTTCTGAGAGCAAAAGCTGCAGTTTACCCTTGTGCTTAAGGGATGGCAGATGTTGTTTGTAAAGGCTAAAAGTACTTCTTTGTTCTTTTTAACTAAAAGAAGTGAAAAATAGTATGAGGCCAAATCCTGTGGCATCCAGTGAGGCAAAACTCACACTGGAATTTGAGGACTCATCTTTATTTTTATTTACGGACCGTGCTGTACATCATTGCAGCTCTGTATTTTCTTCCTTTGTTACCAAAGGATAAAGTCCTGTGTGTTATTGCACAGCACTTTGAGAACTGGTTGAGAAGTGCTATTACAAGAACTGTTATTACAAATGATCTCTTCTCTTTTCCAGAGAGATCGGTGCTTGCCCAGCCAACATTTGTTTTTGAAAAGAAGGACCGTCCTTTGAAGGTAAAAAGCATTTTTTTTTTTCATAATTGAGAAAAAATGCTGAGAAATGAGAATTCTATAGACAACAATCCTAGCAGTAATAAAAGATTTTAGCCCAGGTTAAGACTTGTAATAAATGGTCTCAAAATAGAACAAGGAAGAGTAGAAACTAGAAACAAGACTGCTTTCAATGCATGTGTGCTGGATTGATATACTTTGTGTCCTGGTCTAGAAAATGGCTGTTCTGTTCTCCTTGACCTTGCCATGCTTGTATTTTTTTTTCCAGCGGCCTGCAGAAGACCTGGCTTGCAAAGCTGAAAATGGTAATAACCACCTCCTTGAAACAGTATAATAATGCACTGGGTTATTCTTAGGTCTGACTGTTGCCTGTGAATATAGTGTTCGGACCCTTACTTTGTATGAGCAGGGACAGATCGCTTGAGCAGGGACAAATCGCTGTTAGTAGACTAAGGCTATGTGGGTTGTAGAGTCACCTGCTATGTCCTAATATATATGTCCCTGTCTCACCTCAAGAATTCTTCCATCTTACCTCTCATGTTTACCAGAAAGTCAAAATCCAGAAGCCCTGAAAAGCGGCCAAGTATGTTCATCAGCTGTATGGGTTCCTATTTGCCCTTTTCTATTTGTTTAGGCTACGTTATAAGGTAAGTTAACATTCTTAATGTCTTCTGAGCCTGTGGGCTATGAACTGATTCTAAGTCCTTGATTTAAGTTCTCTGAACCTAGTGGAAATAAAGAAGACTCCCTAGGTCTTTGTGCCAGGTGTTGACTGAGATTCCAAAGCCCTTGTGCTCTTAGGTACTGCCTTAAAGCTGTTGCTGTAAGTCATTCCTAGAATTTATTGTGTTCAGGTTTTAATTTCGTATCATAACATTGTGCTGAAATCTCCTGCCAGTCTGTCCCTGCAGAACGTTATATGTACTTTTCTCTAGATTTCATTAGTTGTTCCAGAAAGCGTGCAAGATCATCATCTTTTACTTTCCAGAAGTCTGACTCTCAGTCTAACACAGGTATGATGTTTAGCTCCAGTCATGTTTTAATTACTATAGTTCTGTATTCTCGTCTGGTAAAGAAGAGAAGGAATTTTACTGTCTAAGAAAAGCTTCTGCACTGTAGAAATGCTGCAAGTCATGAAAACTTAAACATCGATATAAACTCGCTGGTAATTTCCAATAAATCCCTTTTTAAGTAAAAATATATTAATTTTCCATACTAACGTAGTATTACATAAAGTAGTGAAAAATTTGTACGTTTCATATTGTTTCCTTGAATTGCTCACACAGTCAAGGGAGGAGGAGGGCTGGAAAGGAATGAGATTCCCTGGTTTGTGGAAGAGATCAGTGTTCCTTGGGCAATCCCTGAAAATGTAAAGCAGTTTCCAGAAGGGCCCCTCCTTTCATTCAGCCAACAGCTCACCTGGAAGGCCCTTTAAGGACTATGTAGTGCTTCCATGGGAAATGCACACAAGTCACTGAGGCTACTGTGCAGAAGGGCTGATCTGGTTTTTACAGTGTTTATTTAACATACGGATGGGACCAGAAAGTTATTTCTGAATTCAGGCATTAATATGTGTACACTGTGTTTTGTCTTATGTAGTCCTGTGACACACCTGAATGTAGCTATGAGGATTTAAGAGAACCTAAGTTTGGTTTACTCTGAAAATTATACTGAGATCATACACAAAAAATCATAGATATGGTAGAAATGTTAGGGTCTGCCTATTCCAAAAAGCAAAGCAGGGTATAGGAGGAAGCTTGAGTGATTGACCTCTTGAGTGTCCACACTGCTTAACTGATAGCTAACTCCCTGCTTCTGTTTTGAACCTCCCGAACTGGCAGTCTCCAAGACAGAGCTGTTACAGAGTGGACTAGCTGTAAGCAGCGTGCCTGAGCCAGGCTGTGCTGCTTGGCCTCAGAGACCTCTCTGATTCAGCAGCACAGGCATAACCTAACAGTGTACTTCAGAAAGCTGGTAGTTAGCAGATAATAATTTATTCTACTGCCAATGAAGGCATGACATCAAATTGGCTAACCTTAACATTAATCTTTTTTTTTCTCCAAACAAATGATAATTTCAGTCTTTTATCCTTTCAGATACAACTGTTGCTCAGAAAAGAGGGAGATCATCTTCCTTTACCATCCTTCCTACTTTCCCTCCCTGCCAGCCAGGTAACTGAAAAAAACCCAAACAAAACCAATAAATATTTATGTAGAAAAGCAGGTATTAGCTAAAATAGAAAGGTGTACAGAAATGCTTTTTCTGCAGGACAGAGCTGGGGTGCATTGGACTAGCCTGGTATTTGGACAGGAGAAAGGAATGTTTTAGGAGGAGGACTGGCAATTCAATAGAAAAAATGTTTTTTGCGTTTCCAAAATGTTTTACAGGTCCTTGGCAGACATTGGCATAAAGGATTTCTAAACAATCTTAAGAGGACACAAGATTGTTTTAGCAGCAAACTGTGCTCTTTCTGCAGTGAAAAAGTAGTGCTTATCTTGTGTCATTTTACAGGATGTGGTACATGGTTGCCATCACTTTCTGGCTGGTGTTTGCTATCTTTATTAAAATGGTGAAAGCATCAGTAGTGCACCAGCACCATTATAGTAAGTTATAAAAGCCTTTTCAGCAGAACAGGGCAGGGCACATTTATTTATTCCCATGTTCTTGGGCGTCATTTACTTATCTTAAAAATGCCTAAGACTGAACCAGATAGCATTGCCATTTCAATAGCTTTTGCAAACCAGCAGCACCTGGTTTTCAAAGCTGTAGAAGGATTTTATGAATTTAAAACATCCGTTAGTATCCAAAGATTTCTGTCTCTGACATAGCCAGAAAACCCATGGTGCTTTCTGTGCCTAAGTCTACCCACCTGTAAAATGGAGACAGTAACAGTTATCTCAGAGATCTTGTTCAGGTTAATAGGTTTGAATATTGCTCAGGTACTACCAAATAGGAAGGGGTTACAGAAATGTGAATTAAGAATTAAAATTTGTTACTACTCACTATTAAAGTTTAAATTCCTTGTTCTGTAGTAAAGAAGAATAACATATTCATGACCTCAGCTCTTCTTCAAAGAAACCCTGACTGGATCAGAAGTACAAAAGAAGGTAACTGTCAATGCAGTATTTATTCACTGTACTTCCACAAAGGCATTCTTAACAAATCAAGAAGACATAAAAATGACAACTCTTCTCTATGCTGAGTGATAGGCTAAGGATCTTTGTGACATTCATAAGTTATTTGTTTGACAGTGTAAATATCTTGTGAGCTCTGTTCTGAGCCTCTGCTCTGACTAGTCAGTTCCTGAGTGGACTGAATATAACCTTGAATAGTGAAATTCTACATTCCTAACTGAATAACTCTGCTCCTGGAGAAGGTAGTGAAGAACTGTCTTGGCATCTGCAGGTGCAGGATTAAATTTGAAATACCAGAAGACAGATCTAACACAAAGCAGTAAATATCAGTATAAATATAAACACATATTTAAATACATAAATACAAATATATTTTATACATCTAAACAACTATTTTTTTAATATAACACATTCTCTTTTAATTCTGATAGGATAATGGGGTTGGTGTCACTACAGAGTTGTGCATTTTAGAATGGATTACAATTTTTCAGAATATGTAGCAAGTAAACAATAAATGCTATTTAAATATGCTTTGAAGCTTTCAGTTGAAAGAGGCAAGACACATAGATATGAATTAGATGGGAAGAAAAAGTCTCTGTTTAAATATTTTGTCTTTGTATTTTGCAAGGATCCTTGTCACAAAGTCAATTGCGGAATGTCATTAGACCTGCCATTTTACAACCCCCACAAGCCCTGGCCTGTCCTGAAAATCCTGTAGTATCTCTAGTGACTAAGAAAGAAGCATATGTTCAGGTAAAAAGAAAAGTAGTTTTACTGGCTAATGTATGTTTGCAGCTCAAATAAAAAAAACCAGTGCTGTCTTAAAGCAGTTAATTATTCCACTGCCTGATTTTCCAGAAAGTTCCCATATCAGTTTCAGTGGAATCGATGGATCACTGACATGGTGTGAACTGTTAAACTCATGCTGGCTGTATTTGAAAAAACATCTCTTCTCTGCAGGCTGTCTCAGCTTTCAGATATCAGGGTTCTGTGGGCAAATCAGCTTTGGGGATTTTTTGGATTTTGATTATTTAGAAAGTAACATTTTAGCATTTTGATTAAGGGCACTGGCTTAGTACACAGCTGGAGGAAGCTTGGCCAACTACCACATATATATATATACACCTCAGTGACTCTGGACTTCTAGCAGACCTGTTTATAGCAGAAAATAAGCTTGGTCTAATTAATTCATCTGGTTTTATCATTCCTAGCTATCTGAAGACAGGTCTTATTCCTCAGCTGAGAATTCAGTAAGTTCCAAAACAGCAGTGAGGTCATCTACTACCATGAATCTTTCTAGCTCTAAAACAACACAGTAAGTTTTTATTTATTATATTCCTACCCCATTTTGTCACTTGGCCTATGGCATGCCCTTTTGTCCTGCATGTCTAACATGGTACTAAGCCCATGGTATCTACACCCACACAGTGCTCACTGGTGTTTGTGTGTAGTGCCAGGATTTGTGGGTACTGACTTGAGCTCCGTACACCATAAGAAATGGACTCCTGCTGGAAATTAATCTCTGTGGGACAGTTTGTTTCTCATTAGCAACCCCCGAGCCAGAAACTATTTTGGTTTGCCGTGTCATGCAGCTTTGGCGGTTCAAAATATGTCCCAGTTTTGAATGTTCACAGTCATCTTTGTGTCGCTTTGGAGAGCTCTATTCTGATTGCATAGCTGCTGCATCTCATAAACAGATGCAGAGAAATTCAGTAATTACAAAAATATGTGAGCATATTGGACACAGAAGACATGAAGACGACCATACAGGACTGATCCGGAAGACAAGGTGAATCCTGCAACTTCTACTTCCGTGCGCACGCCAGAGTTTCTGGCTGTGATGATTGTGGTGGGGGGGCATCTTTGTGCAGACATGGGTTGACCAGAACAGACTTGAATTTCTGCATGAGGAAGCTGGCTTCCTTGGGCTAGGATGTTGCCCCATGCCCTTGCCTCTGACTGAAAGAGCTCATACCAGTGCAGAAGCGGGCTATTGCCTCTCTCTGGAGACTGGCTCATGAGAATGTTAGGTCTGTGGTTAGCCAGCAGGTTATCTTGTAGGTATTAATACTGCTTGCTGATGGTTGATGAGGGTTGTTTGCCTGGAAGTTGTGAGCATCAGGAATACACCTGAGATCAGTTGTGATGAGAGAATGACATTTTAAAATGGCTAAGGCCACAGATAGCACATCTGTGATGTTGCCTCCTTTCCCCCTCCCACCCAAAGAGGGCAGAGAACGTGTTAACTGCAAAGGAGTCCAGTCCAGTCTCCTTCAGGGCTGGATGGGCCACAGGTAAAGCTTCCTGCACACAAAGTTTGGGATGCACAGTGCTGGGGTTCTGAGGAAGTAAGGGATTTTTAGATGCACAGAGAACTTAGATTCTTAATCTTTATCAACAAGAAGAGCATAATTAGAGGGCAGATGCTCACTGTGATTTTGGAAGAGCCAGCCTGTCCTTTTCTATCACAGTTAATGCTGTCTTATCACAGTGATGATGCCCTGTGAGAACAACATGGAGCCTACAGAGCATGCTGGAATTTTAGCAGATTCAAAATGATGGTAATGCATATACCAGAAAAGCTAAAGGGAAGGTGGTACTGACTTCAAAATCAGTTGCTATCGCTACTCAAATCTATTTACCTTCTGTCAGCTGCACAATATCTAGGAAAAGATAGGTGAGTGGCTTTCTTTTGTGAAGTAGATGGACACAGAAATGCAATGCAGTGTTTGAGTGCTGACAAGTTACAAGACTTAAAAGTGCTTATGGTATTTCTTTTCCTTTTCTTTTTTAAAAAGGAAATTGCTAATCTGCTTGGGGTATTGATGCCTCATTAATTCTGCATATCGCACTTGTGGTAAATGTTGGTTTATTTGACAAGTTGAAAACTAAATACAACCAGGTGCTTACTGCTCTGCTGCGATTGCAGGGGGTGTAAGTGCCGTTCTTCCGATCTGTATTAAGTGACTGATGCTTTAAAATACTTCAGTAGAGTCTTTTGGGCATAGCTCTTTTCTCATAGATAGCTTGAGAATAAGTATTCAAACAAACAACTTTATTATAAACTCCGTATACATGCTAAACAGTAGTGAACATTGCAGCCAGACCTGCTCATTGCTAAGAAAAGAATTTTTTAAGTTTGTTTTTATTTATCAGTCAAGCTGTAGCTAGTGTTTATTACAAAATAAAATGCAGACACACTCAACAGCAGGGATTGCTGCTGGCTGCAAACGTCCCTCTTGCTTTCCCTCCTCTCCCACCTCTTCTCTATGTGACATGATTCTGTAGAGAGATGAATGTAAATGGTTTGTTAGCCCTCTGCAGCTGCTGCAGCTGTCCACGTCCCAGGAAACCACCAACAGTTCTGTTTCCTGAACGGGCTGTAGTAATGAACTGAAAAGAAGAAATTTGCAGTTTCTTAAGTCTGATTACAAACTTGGAGAGAAGATTGTGTCGTAAGTGACAGAAATGTAATGCTGGGAAAACTCAGGCTTCTGGTCGTGTATTCAGCTCTGCAGAAGGATTTGCTTGGAAAACTGCCAGGGCTTAAGGCCGGCACTGGAACTGGCAGCTACTCAGATCCTTCTGGACACTCTGAGGACAGTACCTGGATCTACTCCCTTTCCGTAGTCCCTTTCCAGTATCTTATCCACATTTCTCCTTCTCCTGTTCTTCCTTGTTAGCGGTCATTCCCTGAATTCAGTGCCTCTGTTTTGAATCTCCATGGCAACGTCATCCCGGGCACACTTTGTTCTTGCCCTGCAGCAACATAAGGGTATTGAAGTTTTAATACAACTTTAAGGCTGGCACTTCCAATTAACTGTCCAGAAGAAGAAAGATCCTGCACCAATTACTTTTTCCTTACATTTCCAAAAATAATCAAAATCCATTTCCCACATTATTTCTTTTGAGACAAACCTCTACTTTCTGGTTTTTAGCTCTCCCAGACTGCTATCCTTCCCAAGTTGCTACCGGAGCAGCCTAGAAGCAGCAGACAAAATTTCAGGATGCAAATTGATCACAATTCAGTCAATTTTAGTGGGCAGTTTTCTTAAGGGTAAGAAACTCGTTAGTTTAAACACACTTTAGATTCCCTGTTCATGGCCCAAAACACGTATGGAAGGCTTCAAGGCTGAAAAGGGATGGATTTTCTGATTTCTCTTTCTTATTTGCTCTTAGTCTTAGCAACACATCGAGCACGAGAATGTTAAGGAATATTTTTTTCTTTAAGTGTAAAATGGAGATAGCTTGTCCTTGGGAATTCCTTCATCCTGTGTGAAGAGATTTCAAGCATACTGTATTTGTGAACACAGAAACTAAGTTTTAGAGGCAGTTGCCAAAGTTCTGGCAGCAAACCCAGCTTCTTAACAGGAATATCCTCTGCACGACATATGTGCTGTTAAGCCCTCCCAAGGGTGATAAATGATCTGGAAGAGCAGATAAGTGGTGCTGAAGTATGCAGTTTGTGACAGAACATCAGATTGTCTTCCTGCCAAGTCATCCTTCTGGAAGAGGAAGAGACTAGAACTTGGACGGTTTTGCCTTGTGGCCAGCAAGAGTTGCAGTGATTAAGCTCTACAGAAAGCATAGAATCATAGAATCATTTAGGTTGGAAAAGACCTTCAAGATCATCAACCATCAACCATCAACCATGCTCACTAAACCATGTCCTATGGTACCCCATCTACTCGCTTTTTGAATACCTCCAGGGATGGTGACTCAACCACTTCCCTGGGCAGCCTATTCCAATGTCTGAAAACTCTTTCAGTAAAGAAATTTTTCCTAATATCCAATCTAAACCTCCCCTGCCGCAACTTGAGGCCATTTCCTCTTATCCTATCACTTGTTTCTCGGGAAAAGAGAACAACACCCACCTCACTACAACCCCCTTTCAGGCAGTTGTAGAGAGCGATAAGGTCTCCCCTCAGCCTCCTCTTCTCCAGACTAAACAGCCCCAGCTCCCTCAGCCGCTCCTCACAAGACTTGTGCTCCAGGCCCCTCACCAGCTTGGTTGCCCTTCTCTGGACACGCTCCAGCACCTCCATGTCTTTCCCGTAGTGAGGGGCCCAAAACTGAACACAGGACTCAAGGTTTGGCCCCGCCAGTGCCGAGTACAGGGGAACAATCCCCTCCCTGCTCCTGCTGGCCACACCATTTCTGATACAGGCCAGGATGCCGTTGGCCTTCTTGGCCACCGGGGCACACTGCATGAACCACCTATAACCCTTTTGTAAAAAAAAACCCCCAACTAACAACACTCCCCCCCGCCCCCCCCCCAAACCAGCAGCAAGAACAACTTCCACACAAAGAAGTTTACAAGGACTTCCTAGTGACTTTTATAAAAAGTGGATCCTGTCAAATTTAAAGTGGCTGTGTAATTAGCAGGTCAAATCACAACTGTACTTACATTAGAATATCCTTGAATGTAATCCACAAGTAATACACTTTTTACAAGTTGTGTGTATGTTACTGTTTAAAAATGCATTCGCTACCTTCTCTTAAAGCCTGAGAGGTAAGAGGCTAACTGAGAGTAGTTAAACTCAGGGTGGCAATGCAAAAAAAAATTGATGTTTTTTATCTGGAAAACCTGAGACACTAGGAAGGAAAAAGGGACAGAGGAGGAGAAGGACAAGTGTTGTTTTAATGTAGCTTCTGCCAGAACCAGTCACACTCCAGATCCTAAATGTAAAGTGATTTATCTACTGTATGAAATTTTCTCCTCAATCTGTATCCCCAATCTATAGCTGGCCAGTACCAAAGGATTGCAAGTGTTTAGTTTTCTTCACTTCTTATTTGAAGTATATCTATGAAACAGGTCATTGAAAAATGGAAAGAAGATCTTTCTTCTTGTTTTTAGTTATACCTTATCATAAGCCACCTGCTATCATGCCTTTACGTTTTTGCAGTATTTATGTGAATTGAAAGTGTGTGCATTAGAATACACTGCTTCTCTGCCTTTCCAAGACATTAGGTGGATGACCGAGGAGTGCCTGTAAGGCATTGGGGAGGACATTATTCCGAAGGGCGTGAGAGCTGTACGAACATGAAGGGATAATTGTTAATCATTGGTAGTCTTTTGATGGAGCAAAAGGAAACGGGGAAAGAAATGTAACGCATTAAAGTTTCTGGAGTAAGGCACTTACCTGAGGAGGAGGCGGCATGTTGTTTTGCTTCTTATTCTTTGCTTTTAAGGAACATCCTCAGTAACCTTCATGAAAGACAGTGTGATACTCTGTTCCTTTAGTGAAATGTTACATAGAGAATATTCTCAGATTCTCTTAAAAGATTTTGTCTGATTACTTAAGTGGTCATTTTTTGTTTGTCTTTAATGTAAGGTGTGGTAACGTAAATGCGTGAACTTATTTGTATTCTTTACAAAGTTCTAAATAGTTCTAAGTCACATTCTTATGTTATTTTGTTCCTACAGAAGTCAGTTGTTTGAAGATGAAAGTGTACAAAACAGCAGCAGTTCTGATTTTGTGTTTGGAGAAAACATGGTTGAGAGAGTTTTGGTAAGATCAGTAAATGCTGGCAGACTTTTTATCAAAGTTAATGTACTTATGAGTATAATTTTTTTCAGAGATTGATTCTTTTTAGGTCATCCTGTTCTTTTAAAGATGTGAGTAAATATGATTCCAATGACTGTTGAGGAGAAAATAACTAAATATTTGTTGTAGAAGGGGTAGGCATCTCTATCTTCCCCATCCTAGATAAGTACTCTAATTACTAGCCTGTACTAGTATGCTCTTCTCTTTTGCTCATTTTTTGACCTGAAAAAGTTTTTTTTTTATATTCCATGTAAAGTGGGACAGCTAAAATACAAGATAAAAGAATGTGCTCCATACTGCTCTAATAATTTCCATCATAACTGTTAAGAGATGGGAGAAATTAGTATGAGGGGAAAATTGAACATCCATCCTAGATAGCGTCCATGTTAAACTATGTTGTGTGTGCTGTGAGACAGCTTAGTGGATCAAGTCCTTAAGGAAACTCAGACAAAAAGGTGGTTCCCAAGCTGAGGACTGCACCATTTAAAATGGAATTGAAATTCAGTTTCTAGTAGAAGTCGAAGGAAAACAGTATGCGTATCTGCCAGTGAAAAAGCTTGGCAACCATAGGTCTGGGTTATGACTTCTGACCAGGATTTAGGTATAAGGTAGGAGTTGGGCCACTGAGCATTGTCAGGAGCCAGAAGCATTTATTTAGATATGCCTAAGGAACTTTATCTGCAAAAACTGAAGGTCATGGAAATTCTTAATTCTTCTGAGGTTAAGTTTGTGGTGTCTGAAAGTTTTCAACTATTCTTCTGGGGCTTAAGTGCTTAAACTGGAAATTAGCTGGTACTTAAACCTCTAAGTCCTTTAGTGGATTTAAATCCTAGTCCAGGATCCACACAAAGAGGCCATTCTTCTTGGTGGGAGAATGATGTACTGATTTTATGATAATAAAGTTACTTCCACTTGAGACTGAAATTGTATCATCTGGGTCAGTTTTGACTCTGAAGATACTACATTTTCTAATCTTCAGCCTAGCATGCATTAAATGATTCAATGTTCTATCTGATATGAAGTAACATAGCCATTTTATTTAAATAGGAATTTTTATTTCCCCCGTTTTTTCCTAGAGTCCTGAAAAGCATCCCAAGCCGTGTAATGGAGCTGATTCATACAATGGAGAAATAACATCCATGTGCATAGAACCTTTTCATGTCAGTCCACAAACAAGTAAGTATACTTAGCAAACAAGTACAGTTAGCTTTATGACTATGTTTCACTGTATTTTAGAGGATGTCAAATGAGTGGTGGTCAATAATTTTCATCTATTCTCAAGTTATCCGGTCACTAGTACACTGGCAGTATGTGCCAAAATCTGTGTTCGGAAAGCAGCTGCAGTTTGATTTATGACATTTGAACTGGACTAACTTCAGAATGAATGATCTAAGTTACTCAGGAAAGGATGGAGTTTTATGGATTATTATTATTATTATTTATTACAGATTATTATTTTTTATTACTTGAAAAAAATGTGGTGAACTTTGTGAATGCCTTTTGGACCGCATTTTTGAACTACAGTTTTAAGCTGTCTGCTGCTTGTATTTTGTGACTGTTCATATAAATTACTTTGCCATATTTGTATCCTAATTGTAGGACTGAAACTTCCAGACAGACAGATTTCGGGGGTTGTTTGTGACTCTGGTGTGAGCTTTTCTACTAGGCAAGCCACGTAAACCTAGGCTGTGAGGGAATCCCAAGTAGGCCCATATCTTGAGCCCTCTTGCCAAATTTTGCGCCCTCTTTACTAATGGATGTATTGGATCTTCTTGCTTTGTATGAACATTCTTACAAGTAAAAAAAATTAAGAATTAAAGCCTATGGAAAACATACCTAGATCATGCAAAATACAAAATTTTGTAACTATGTTCCTTTCAAATCTTGTCCTTTCGTGTTCCTGTCAAGTATTCATTGTATATGTATTACTATTCTGAATACTGGGACGTGTGTCTGCCATTATTTATTAATCTGCACAGCAATATGACAGGCAAGTTTCATTTCAGAAATCCACTTCTAATTATTTAGGGCTTGTTTCTGCAAGTTGTCCCTTGGGGCAAACCTCTGCAACTGCAGAGAGCCCTGTTCAATTCAAAATGAGTCTGAACAAGTGAGACATTTTGCATTATTCCAGCCTTTTTCTTTTTCTCTTCTATTTACTGCTTTGGCCAAAAACTTATTACTAGCACTAAATAATATCAGATACCACAGGGTTTACTGAAGTCGCAGGCCATCCTATGTCCTAGTTTTGTTGTTCTGAAAATACTCCCTGTACAGAAAGGATTTCCTTTTTTTTTCCCCCGCCCCCTACAGAAACAGCTTTGTTGAGGAGTGCAACACTAAATGAATCAGCAGCTGCTTCTCTTTCCAAGCCAGTAGAGAAAATTCTGTTAGATAAAGTTGAAGTTATAACTGGAGAAGAAGCAGAACACAATGTGTTACAGGTGTGTATTTCATAAAGCCTTGATGGTGAGCAGTTTTGTGGTTGAAAAGATCATCTGGATCTATTACAGATCTGAAAATAACTTCAGTTTATATTTTGAATTTTCACTTCTTTAAGCTATGACTCTACTAACCCATTATTTCTATAGGCTGATATTTGCTTTTTCATATTACATTTGTTCATTTTATAGTGCCTTTCAGTAAGTGACTGCTTCAGAACTTTAGTCTACAGTTGTATTTTATAAGCATCTACACAGTGTACCAGCAGTAACTAAAACTTCAAAATTTGAACTGATTTGGGAAATGATTTTTTTTTTTTGACAAAACTTTTTTTGGAAAAAAGCAATGTGTTGTCAGAGTAGTTAGTTTTATAGTTCACCTAAAATATCAGTTATCTTTCTGGCCCTCCAGGATGTATCTTGCTATTCTTCATCTTCAAAATGTTATTTTCTCAGAAAATATCAATGATGTATATGTTTTTAAAAATCTTAACATTGAAAGTTCCATTATTTCATCATTGATTCAATCTTCTGTCTTGTCAGAACATGAAAGTTTTACTCTCTTTGGAGTAGTACTCTCCTAGTAGTGGTACTACTGGTATCCTGGTCTGCATAATGTTTCTAATGAGTGAGGGAATAAGATTGTAGAACACTTGCAACAAATTCACCTGTGGTAGTGGATATCACAGGTGAAGAGTTAATGAAGATGAAATAATGGAAAAAGTAAACTGGGATTCATGATGAATGTTTTCCATAACTAGCAGAAAGTTTAGCACACATCTGGGAGCCATTTCATTTTAAGTAATAATGGTGATAGATCTATATATCTTTCTATACATGCATATGGATGTATTAAAAACCATATCAAAAGGTTTGAAAACATAAAGTTCAGAACCAATAATATTAACATGGGCTGGCATTTCCATCATGTATTTCTCTTTCAGATCAACTGCAAGCTCTTTGTATTTAACAAGCTTTCTTTAACCTGGATTGAAAGAGGCAGAGGATCCCTGAGGCTTAATGACACTTCCAGCAATAAATGTGGAATGTTGCAGTCAAGGCTAAGTAAGAATTAAATAACGAAGTAACACATACACAAAACACTAAATAACTTGTACTATTGCTGGCCAGAATAAGTTTATTTCAGAACATTTAAAATGGAGTAGCTAGTTTCATTTAAGTCAAATTGCTGACCATCTTTTTAACGTTGCCTGATAAAGTTAGCTGTGTTACGAACTGAAGCACTGGGCATTTTTCACTGTTTGTACACTCACGCTTGCATATGTTGTTAGGTCCTGTGTAATTCTGCTGCAGTGTATCTTTAGCTCAGTCACCAGTCTGACAGTTTCCTCTTTTTTGGTTCTGCTTTTCCAGGATTTTCCAAGTGACTGTTTCAAGTCACTTCTAGAATGTTGTTTTTACTGTGCTGTCATTTTTTGTACTGTATTGCACAGTTGCAGCAGATTATTTGCTTTGTATGCCAGATGTATTGAAAGAAACTAATATATTTTGGTATTTTAAAAAATAGTTATCTCATCATGTCAGGTTTTAGACCTAATTAAAAAGAATAACTCATGAAAATATTAGTTGTATACAAGTGCTAGAGAAAACTGCTGCAGTAAAAATGAAGATGGTTCCAATGCCTTATATAAACCTTCTTCTTTTAGTTATGCGCAATCAAGGCAGCTTGAGACTGATTCTCAACACCCGACTCTGGGATCACATGGTTATAAAAAGAGCAAACAGAAAGAGCCTATGCTTCACTGCAACAGACCAAGAGGACCGCTCTGTTCAAGTATTTCTAATTCAGGTAAGCAAGAGAGAAAAACCCCAGCCAAATCCCCATTTCATCTAGGATTGTGAAGACTTGCTGAGGCTTTGGTTTTAGCAAATGGCCTTTTACGCTCTGTCAGGCTATGCTTAGCTTAGCTGTTACATGGCTTTTATTGTGAAATGAGTTAGAAAGTGCCATCCCTTGGTATTTCAAAAAAAAGGTGTGAAGATGGGATATGGCCTTAGGGCGGACATTTCCAGACTGTGGTTCACCTACCACTGATGGAATGGATATCATTCCAGTCATATGCAGCAACTGCTGTTTCTTACAGAAGCAACACTGTATTTTCTACACTGGTAGTTACATATTCATAAATTACTTTGGTACAAGGCAGCAGCTTTCTGCCATGGTTCTCGACACAGTGCCTGCAGTAATCCATCCAGTGTAGGACCTCCATTTCTCAGTTGAGGAGAACATAGATTTTGCAATGTCACCTTATGTAAGACAATAGTCTTGGGAATCCAGGTTTTCTCTAGCGAGGGCTGGTAAGTTGAGGATGGAAGTATGGTGGACTTAACTTGCAAATAAATAGCACATATGTCCTAGGTTAAGAAGTGAGAGCACCCACCTGAGTTTAAGGATGTCTCTGGTTTCCCCAGTAGACCTTTCTGGGAAGGGTTCAGCCTCCTGGGCAAGAAAAATAGCTCACCACTTCCAGGAAGTGTCACATGTCATACACAAGCAAAGCACCATGCTCCTTATACGCAAGCACTGTAAGTCTGTCACTTCCAAACAGTTAGTGACTTATCTATGGCTGTGCTGGACAGCTGGTCTGCCTGTGAGAACTAGAAATGTTCTAGATTGCCAGATGTGCTGCACAGTTTTTCTAGTGTATATAAATGTAAATATCCCTTAAATTCTGTTGTGATACTTCTGGACAGTAAAAAAAGACATGTATTAGAAAACCAAGGTACATGACAGCTGTATGTGTGCGGCAAGGCTTGCAGGAAGCTACTTCTACAGTCGTCACTGAAGCGGCTGGTATCCTTCCCTATAGCTAGTATCCAGCCAAACTAACACTGAGACTCTTGAGTGTGGAAGGCAGATTGGTCAATGCGTGAGACACCCAGCAGGCATTGCCAGAGCCTCGGCATGTAAGTAGGTTGGTCTAGTAGTCAGTGGAGCCCACTCCTCCAAGGCACCAGCAGATATTTTTAACTGCCATTTAAATTTGTTTTTCCTATGTCACATGAATGATTGATACATTTGGTTCAGGGATATTATCCAAAGGGCTTCTCATGAGTGAGGGAGAAGAGTCATATGATGCTGACTACAAAGTAGGCAGTCCACAAGACTCCATTAGGTCGGTCCTACAGTACTCACCCAGGTTTGCGCAGAGGGCTGACCCTGCGCGCTCCCCCATGCTTGTTTCTCCCTCCTTGCTTTTGGTGGCATTGGAATTCATACAGCTATGAGTGAGGCAGATCAGAGAACTGATCTGGGTGGGGCTTTTTTGTTTTTGCTAATTTCGTTTTTCAGCTTGATTCTATTCACCCTGTGATTGCCCTGATGGTGGTACTGGCACAATAGAGAGGGTAGAAATGAAAGGTCAGAGGATGTATGGAGGCGAGTCCACCCCTCTTGGCAGAAGCCAGAATTCATACTAGATTAAAGTGACAAAGGAACTCTGGCTTTTCAATGAAGAAGTAAAAAGCTACAGATAGGAATGATCAGACTGAATAGCTGCCTTTTTCATCTTTATGACCCTGCGTTTCCTGAAAAGCCCTGTTATCTTCAGAGCTCAGATTTGTCCACTGAGAACTGCAGTTTGCAGTTGAGACATCTCAACAACTCTGAATTGCTTTCTTCTTTGCTCGGCTGTAGGGAGAGAATGGTTTGCTGCTGCAAGTCTGGGTGGCACAGAAGGCAACCCTGATCTGCTGCTGCTTCCCAATTCGCATGCTTTTCCACCTGTACACACTGAAAGGTGTCATTCCAATCCAAACAACATGTATTTATTCCTATTGCCAAGCGATACAGATAGAAATTACTCTACGTGATGCACAGAAGTGGAGAGCTGGGCTACAGAAGACCATATGCAGTTGCTCTCTGGTAGCTGATCTGCTTCGTAACAATGTAAGAAGTACTCTACTGGCACTTCTGGCAATGCCCAAATGCAGTGCTTTTAGGAAGCCCAGGCAAGCATGGCACTTTGTATGGTCTGTTCACCTCATTGACCCCCAGCGTCCATAAGTGTTGTATTAGAGATGTGAGAACATGCACCCCTACTTGTTTCCTTTGCTATCTATTTTGTGAAATGATTGCCCCTGAATTTTTCTAATTCCTTTTTTTAAACTTTTGTTACTATATTGTTGACCTGCTGTTTTTAGTTTATATTGTCTATCCCCCCTCTCTCCTGAAACAGCAAATGTAGAAGTTCTTACTCAACTCTGTGAAGAAGCACTTTCTTTTACGCTGATCCTCTACTGCTTTCATTAAGCGTACGCTAGTGCGTTTATTGTGTGGTCTGATGAACAGCCATACCATATGCAGTTTATCTACCACTTTTATAATTTTGAAAACCTTAGTTATACCCCATTCTTATCCTTCTCTTCAAACTTGAAGTGTCTCAATTCTTCATAAGGAGCTGCGTCACACCCTTGATCATTTTTGGTGGCCTTCTCTTTCCCTTCTTTAATTGTGCTATATCCTTGAGATGTGATGGCCAGAACGGAACACAGTACTCAGGACATGGCTGCTTGAAGGTTTTATGTACTGGCAAAATGCTGCCTTGTCTAGTTCTCAGTACTCTTCTTGATGACGCTTATCTTCTGTTCAAAAATAGCAGCAGAATTCATAGTATCTTTAAATTTTATAATCACAAATAATTTTTTGTAGTTAGGTTTTAAAATTCTTATTTATTCTGTAAACCAAAATGTAATACATATATTAACATTTCAGTGCTTTCTTACTTCTCGAATCATACTCAGGAATTGTCTGGAATATCAACTACTCAGTACAAACTGAGCCATTCTTCAGGGGAAATTATTTTTAAGCTTATGTTTCTTGTAACTATAGGGAAAATAATCAACAGCTACATATTGTAAAACTCAGACCACTTAAAGAAACGTGACCTTATTTGTATTTAAATTTATTTTCTGAAATGAATTATTAAGTGTGAATCTTAAATGGATTGCTTTGATTAAAAAGGACAAAATACAGCTCTTTCATTACTTTTGAAAATTTCTCAGTCAGCTTCTCTATGACAAACAGAGGTTTTTCTTGGTTAGTTTGGACTGTATGCATTTTATGTTCTGCAGGCAAGCTCAAAAGACGCTGAATACCTGTATGCAGCAATACATCACCGCCTTGTGGCATTGCGAAGCTTTGCTGAGCAAGAGCCAGATGCCAATCAAGTAGATGCAGAGTCAGAAGTAGCTTTTGAGCCATTAAACTGTGATAGTGATGATGAAGATGATGAAAAAATAACTCAAGTGAGCAGCAGTGGATATGGTAAGCAGAAATTTTCCTGGGAATGCTGTAATCCTTTCAAGGTATCTTCTTGCAAGCAATGAAAATTGTACTACTTTTTTTTTTTGTGCTGACTATAACTTCCATCTGTTACACATACCCCTTTTCACGTAGAAGACGGTAATTCCTTTTAGTATTTTGACTTACTACTGTTAAAATGCAAGGTTTTGCCAGATCAAGCTTCTACACATCTTTATAGCAGTGGAATACTGTTTTGACAAAAGGCTGAAGGTTAAGAAATTTTAATATTGTCACGCTTTACCTAAAGGTTTCTTCAGTATATTTCAGTAGAAATGACTAGAGGTATTGAGATACTAGGTGTTCCTTGAGTAAGTGAAAGTTGAGTCCATTCACATCAGCGCTTACGTAGTTACTAACGGCTTGAAGTGTAATGTGTTTACTCAGATATTTATTATGCAGTGGTTAACTTGATTTAAAAGACTGATTCTTGATCAGCTGTAACAGCTACCTCATTAGGAAATTTGAAGGTCAGGATTTATGCACCAGTTTTGCCAACCTTCTTCAACATCACAAAATTTAGGCTCCTCAAAGGGAAGAATGCAACTAAAACAAGATATAAGGGGCAAGCTGCTGACTTAAACCTTCTCTAGAAGCTGTTAATACAACTCACAACAAGGCTGGGGTCACATTTGCAGAAAGCAAGGCAGAAACAGCTGTCAGACTTCAAAGCTTTTCTATCTTAGCAAAAGACAAGTCACATTTCTTGGGCGAATTCACTTGCTTGTGCCAAACAGCTACAGTGGATACAGGAGCTGCCAAGTACATTCAGTTTTCTAATAGAAGGACTACAGCGGGCATGTTTGAGTTGTTGCTCATGGCATTAGTTTCCCTCTGCAACTGAGCAACATACTGTCCTTATATTGTAAACTCTTCCTTTTAACAACTATTCAACAAGAATTAAGTCATGTATGAGTAACAGCCACAAGTGACTGTTTCCTTAAGGAAGTCTTTTTTCACCTTTAGGCAAACAGATTGCAGTTTACAATGCTTGTTCCCATTATTAATTGTTGTTTAACTACATTTCAGTAGCATTCAGTGCTCTAAGCAAAGCATGATGCTCTTATACATCATTTTCTCACAAATACCTTTTTTCTGTTTAGGAAATGGGAAAATTGTTAGCTGTGAGAACTCCCTGGATTGCTCCCAGATAATCAAAAATTCCCTCTGTAATTCCTAGATAGTCTCTACTGACTTTACAAAGAGTTACTGGTAACTTGGAAACTCTGGATGGAGCTTGATTCCTTTCCAGAATTATTGATAAGAATTCTCTGTTCTTTTAGGGTAAAAAAAAAAGAGGAGAAAGGGAATGTCAAAGCAGTGTAGGAGCACAGATTTACAAATTAAATATTTATTTTGATTTGCAGAGACTTCTGATACAAATATTCAGATGGCAGCCAGCAAACAGATTCTGAGATATGAGTGTCAGGTGCTGTTTTTTCTTGACCTTTTAGTTTAAGCATCTGTCCTTCATTTATGTCCAGTTACTGACAGCAATTCTAACAGTCCCTTTCAACTGCTTTTTCGATGACTTCCAGCATTTCCTGCTTATCTTAATCTCTTCTATTATTCTTAGAGCCACGAGGTTTTAATTTTGCATACATGTCAGTTACTGGTATCCAAGTCCCACTTTACTTGCAGACATTCACCTCTTAAACATGCCTATCCCTGGAACTCCCATTTCCAAAACAGGAAGAAAAATATACCTCATGGGTTTAGAACAGGGTGAGGTCAGTTTTAAATATCAGCATAGAAACATCCATTTGGATGCAAGAGATTAGATCCTGCATATTTAAGAGCATTTGTTTAAATCTTTCATTTTCATGTGTTCATTTTCTTTGAAGGATGTGCGTGAATAAGTCATCTTCTTTTTATTGATGTAACTCTGTTTCAGAGATTACCTCTCCTTAAGACCACATACAAGTTAAGAAGCTAAGTTCTTAGTGACTGCTTCATTACAGTAAATAGAAAGTATGCCTGCATTTTATTTCCTTCCATTCTACCTGTTCTGTCTCAAAAAAAATCAATGATAGTTCTTTCTTTTCTTAATACAGGCAATTTCCTTCTTGTTAAACTGAAATAACACAGTTCCCTAGATTATGATATATATTTCATGACACTGTAAAAGACATGAAAAAATAGATATGAATTATCTTTCGTGCTAGAGACTGAGGAAGAAAGCAAATGACATATGCAGTAAGTGAAGTGTGATGAACACTAAAGTGATCCTATGTTTGCAAGACATTTTTGTAAGAATTTTTTACACAGAATTCTTCATTAACAGGATGTTAATGATGTATAAGGACACTGCATAAGGTAGTAGAGGTATTTCTACCATTTTGCGAATTCAGTATAGACATTTACTCCAGCATTTTTTAAATTCTTTATTGCTTTACTTTCAAGCAGAGATACTATTTTCATAAAGTCCATAAAGAATAAGTTGCGGCACCTGCTCTTTTGATCAGATAATATTTTACCAGTTACAGCTTGGATATTTCTACCAACAAATTGTTCTGTAAATCTAAGTGCAGAGAAACAGAACAATTAATCTTTAAGCAGATTTTGAGAGTGGATAAGATCAATAACTCTCTGCGAAGTATTCATCTTTTCCCACTGAATACAGAGTGAGCCGAGGAGATGAATTTAGACTAGACGGCAAACTTCTAGGCTGACCAAAGTCAAGCAAATCTCTTCTTCCATTTCTCTCATTGCTAGTTCATTTCTCTGCTAAGTATTGTAACTGTGTTTGCCTCCAGTTGTCTTTGTTATATTTAGGTGAGAACAGATCAGCAGAATTCTTTATTACACGTATGAAAAATTTTCTCACTAAATAACAAATAAAACAATGAAAAATGCTGATATGACAATGTGTGAGTGATTGGACCAAGAGTGCTCCCTTCTGAGGGAAATGCCACTGGCCTGAGACAGTTCCATGACTCTCCCCTTCAGTTTTTCCTCTCCTTGGACTTGGAAACCTTACATTCTTTGCTGTGTGGTAGATCTGCTTCAACAAACAGAACAGAGAATTACCCTTAGCCAGACATATAGAATAGCCTAGTATGGGAGCACTGCCTTCTGGTAGACAACGAATTGGTCCTGACCCCTGTGGATAAAGAGGACTTAGCACCCTGTCAGTCTGTGTCCAGGGCTTGTTCTGCAAGGAGTATCATAATGTCAGACTGTTGCCACTACCTCCTGCTGCTTTGCTAATAGATCTCAACCATCGATTTGGGGCTTTCCAGTGTGTTCGCAGACCTGTGCCAGGTGTCTGTGCAGACCAAGTCCTCTGACTCTTGGTTTTTAAGGACTTGACTACAGGCAGTTACAAATTCAGCACATGGGAGTATGGAGTTGCACTGCTAATATGCATAAATTCCATGTGTAGTTATTGGATAGACAGTTCTCTAACATAGACACTGTGGCAGGGTGCCCATCTCTTTCCACTTGGCAGCACAAACAAACAAGGTACCTGTGTCAGCTTCAAAAAACTGTCCTGCCAGAACATGGAACTGTTAGAGCCCCAACACCTAAGCTTGCCATTGGTAGCAGGTGATTGGAAGTCACTGCTTAGACCCATAAGTGACCAAGATGTCTCTGAAAATGTTACTCTTGTTTCTGACACTTCTAAGAGAGTTTTTCCGTGTTTTCTTCAGAGGCATAAGGAGATTCTGTCCTTGCTCCAAAGGAATGCATTTTGTTTACATTTAGAAACGGGTCCATCATGGTCATCAGAAATAGTGGAAGGTTCTTAAAGTGCTGCAACCCCATTAGTATATAGAAAGAACTGTTATGCCTCGAGAGACACGAGGCATTTCTTTCACAGGGGAGTATGAAATGCCAGTTGTAGTAGTAGAATAGCATGGGGCTATAGGTAGCATGGTTCCTATGATTTCCATCCTTTTCCCTTTCCTGATTTTGCAGGAATTTATTTATTTGTATCCCTAAGGGAGAACAGAGAAGCTGGAAAAGTACATGTGAGGGACAAGGACGACGGTGTCACTAGGCAAAGAAATGCTTTATGCATTATTTCTTACGCCGCACCTCACCAATAATTCTCTTAAATCTTCTCCTAACTTCATCCTGATTGAGGTATCCTCTCTTTTGATCGAGGTGTCCTCTCTTTCTTGGCATGGAATTTTCTTTTAGAAGCTGTTAGGGTGAATTCAAAGATGCTGGAGTCTAGGACTAGGTAAGTCCCAAGAGGTCTCTCTTGTATGTATCCATAGACCTTAAGAGAAAACCACAGTGTGCGAAGACATAGTGTGTCCTGTGTGGATCCACCAAGAATTGCATGGATTTTGGAGACTACTGGTGTTGAGAGCCAGACAGTATATCACAGAAGTGCAGCCTTTGTTCTACTTTACAGACCTTTTCTGGTCCACTATACAAATACCTCCCATGTTGGCCTCATTAGGACTGTCATCTGTTGGTGTTAAGATTTAAAATGTTACAAGAGCTTTTTTTATTTTTAAGTAAAATACTTCTAAAGTTCTTAAAGGAACTACTGTTCAGCAACACCACAGGAACTCCTGAAGAACTGCTATCTTTGCTTGATGCTTCTTGTCAGTTTAATTTAAATTCTTTCCAATTGTTACGGATTCCAAATCATAAATCTCAAACACACACTCCCATACCTGATAGTGATTAAAACTGAGGAAAAGTTAAGAATTAACTTCTTTGTTGGAGTCCAAGTTTCTGTATTCTTTGCAGCAGATATCAGCAATATCTAAAGCAGAGAAGAAGAGACAACTCTCTGATTGGCTTTAAATGCTGACATATTAGGAAAGGGGGGCGGGGGGATCAGATTAGTGTTCTGCCAAACGCAAGACCTTTCATTTCACCTGTAAGAGGTTTGAAACTTTTAGTAGTATTTAGCAGGAGCCAGATGGTAGCAGCAATTTTTAAACAGATACTGAGTTACATGTCTGGCATTAGTCAGCTATATCTGCTTTTTTGCAGATGAGTCAAAGTCATAGAGATTACACACCAAAAACACCCCTGGGTACTTTATCATGACCAACGAGCTGTTTGAAGATACGCTGGTTTTCTCACAGTTTACTGAGCATCTATTATGAAGTGTTAAGACAGTGTTCCCCGTATAGAGTGAGATGATTTGCATCCCAGAGACATTGTCCTTTCTAGACATCTGAATCCTTAGTGCTTATGTGCTTGTCTTTATTGACATGGGGGGGTCACAGGCTTCATTCACTATTCACATGCTCAAATATTTGTGAATAATCCTGTGTTATCTAGTGAGATATTTACCTAAACCAGGAACTGATCATAGCCAAACTCTAACCTCGTGCTCTGGTATTATGAAATGCCGGATTGTTTCAAAACATGAATATGCTCAAATAAGCAGGATTTTTTCAAATTCTTTTTCAGATCATTCTAGATGGAACCACAGGCAGTCCATAGTCTGCTCCTGACACCTACCAGAGGTTACAACAGCATGGCTGGGAGCTCATCTCCCCAAAATGTCTAAGCTGACGCATTAGTCCCAGGAGGGAGGAAATCAGATGCATTTTCCTTTATGAGTTTTAAGCAAAGATTAATTTTAAGGATGGCTTAAGTTTAATACATTGAGAAAGAACTTCAGATGCACTTTTGAGGATTCCAGTCAGCCTGCTTTGCACTGAGATGGCAATGACACAATGGCTTCCAATATTCAAGAAGTGTTACCAAGGCTTCAGATTTTAGAATTAAATATATTTAGATGCATTATTAAGGTAAGGAATTTTATAGGGAATAGATGTTTCTTCATCATGTTGATGGATAAAAGCACATAACCATGAACTAATACTGTATGTGAAGAGATACTTGTTACTTTTCATCTGTTATTTAAAAGATACAGTTGGAAAGCTTTAAATCAGGCTTCACTGAAAAAACATTTATTTAAAATTGTGTGGTAGCATTCAGCATCCTGTTTGTAAGTACACACAAGCAGAATTGGGGATGGCAGTTTAGCATGACCAAGGCCTATGAAACCGGCATTCATAACAAGGTTTTTTTTTCTCTTTGTTTTGAAAATACCTGGAGCTGCATACTGGTTATAGAATTCTGTTAAAGGGCAAAGAACCATGATCTGCCTTTACAGCCCTAAGCACCAGGAGAATTCACCATGAGGAACTGCAGGCCTGTTCTAGAGGCATATGAGCTTTAAAATCTAGAAGTATATCCACTTGTACTCATGAACACCTCTTCAGTTGCACAAAACAAGCACCTGCACTGTTAATTGTCCATTCAATATACGCAAATAAATGCATGCACAGTATAGCTGGATATCTGCATAAAAATTTCTCTTAAATGTGTGAGATTATCTGAAATTACTTCTGCCTTAGCTGTAGCTATCCCTGAACAGCATCGTTCCTTGAAATAGACTAATATGTTACACATCCTAATGTGTGCAATAATCCCAGCAGTGCCAAAGACCCACTCGCTCTATCAAAGTGATTCCACAAACTACTGCCTTTGACCTAACCATTCTCATGAGGAATTAGAAAAATCAATTCTCTCTAATGCCACCTATGAATTAAGAGTTACTGGGTCACTCATAAGCCTGTGCACAGTACAGACACCATTTACGCTCTGTATTTTCTATTCATTCTGTCAAAAGAGAAAGAAAATATGCCTGTAATCATTCTGCTGCAACTCTCTGTTGCCTTGTATATTGTTGGTTACCAAATACTATTTCTTTGTCATCCTCAGAGCTGAAACAATGTTCTGAAATACCTGAAGTCCTTTTAATTAAGGTATTTGTAACAATTTTTCAGTCTTAAAAGCTGCGTCGCACCTGAGGAGTCAAATTACAATTTAGTTTTCCCGTCTGAACATATGTATGAAGTTGGAAGAATACCAGCTTCTTCCTGAATTCTCAGTGCCCTGTCAAGATGAGCATCCAGGTGAAGCTGAACTAGCATCGGGATTATGCTGAATCCTAAATAGCCTGCCAAAATTAGCACTTGTCTGACATTGATTTAGCATCTGGATGACAGTAAGCTTAAGTGGGACTGGGTTTTTGCCTTCAGGAAAAGGGGACTGCTCCACAACAGAGCATCTGTGTCAAAAACTGAAGCACTGATTGGACCCTTCAGTCTGCGAGTAATGTCTTTCCATAACTACCTGTACATTGTGTCCTTTTCTATTGGCCTCGCTCCTGACCACAACAGTATTTGCATCACTGACCTTCATATTTCATTGCTGCAACTCATACTCGGGAACAAAGCTCCATGTTATAGAAACTTCAGCAGTTGTAAAACACAGCAGCCCTCTGTATTTAGCAACAGGTCATGGTGATAACTTTGCCCTGGAGTTCAGCTGGCTATGCACTGAATGCAGAGTTTGATTTCAAAGTCTGTCCTGATAATCAAAGCCTTCCATGAAACAGGATTTAAGCACCCGAGTGTCACGATATCCCTCTAAATTCTACTACAGCTGTAAGATCCTTGTCAAATGAAGCAGCGTTCCAGGGCAGGCACAACAGAACTGATGCAGACACAGGACTTAAACTTTGCCATTTGCTCCCACAGCATAAGGAACAAGGCTTATGATCATTCACATATGAACTCTCCTTTGATCTGCCTCTTCCTAGGATTGTTACATGTATACACAAGTACACATGCAAACACACATGCTTATGCACACACACACACACACTCTCAAACATGAAGCTACATCTCCTAAAAGCTGAGGAGGAAAAGAGATGTTTAACTGTTTTGAAGAGTTTGGATACTGTGGTAATGGATGACGTATAAATAGGTGTCTGTGCAGACATATTTATGGTATGAATTTTTACTCCTGAGATCCTAGTTATTTATTCTATTCAGTCTCATTGCACTAAAATTCATTGTCTCTCAAGACTGAAAGTATGCTAATATGTAATATATTAACTTGGTTTTAAAAATGTGAAGATTGTCATTTTATGACAGCCAGAGCAACGATTGCTATGCCTGAGCAATAAACAACTTTCTTACAGCTTTAATTTCCATCTAACTAGTCTTATTTTGTGTCCGAGTTAGAGCTTCCTACAGACAGTTCTTTCCAACCCTGTTTTCCTGAGGAAACAAGATTTAAACTGTTGCGTACTCTATCCATCTGTCAGGCCCACTTAGAGCCCACTGTTCAGTTTCAGAAAAATTGGATGGGAGGTAGAAGGCTCAAAGACAATTTAAGTTCTTCGTGAAAATTGGCAACTGTTGAGTGACAGAACTCAGAGGAAGGTATCCTTTGAGGAAAAAGTTTCAGAGTAAGCTTGGTATTTTCTGTGAGACTTGTGGGGCTGACTGGTGCGTTCCTGCTTCTGAACAAGCTGCAGCATTTGCTGGGAGGGAGGAGAAAGAAACCATGGCAGGATGGATACCTGGGATTACTGTGTCCTGAAGATGGGTGTAGGGATATGACCCAAATCCATATGAAAGTAGATATCATTAATTTTGCTGTTTGTGGAGCAAACTGTTCTTCCATGGTTTTTTTCAGATGAATGTTACTTACTTATTTCTAACAAATCCCAGTGATTAATTTATATATGCGAGGGCTGCAGAGCTGGAAGCTCTTACATACGAGTACAGTAATAATTTTCAAAAGGAGGGAAGACTAACAATTCCTCATAGAAGGATACATATGCAGATATCTGCCACTAAGATTATGAGTTTCTAGCAAAATGTACTTGGATGGGAGAGCCTAAGTGGCTTATGTTCTGGAGGTGTTTGTATCTCCCTAAATCTTGTCACTCAGGTTTTTACATCATGATCTTCAGTGACCTCCCGATTAGTTTTGGCAGACTGTATGAAGTTAAGAGTTGGGTAATGTCTCTGTTGAATGAATGAATACAGGGAAAACCTTTAGCACAGCTGATACTGCTTTCAATGCTGCTGACAGCCAGTATGACATGGTCAGGGAGGGAAGAGCATCCTCTTTTCCCTACCTGGGTTTTAGAGAACCTACCACTGGGGCATGCTGGCAGGAAAATCTAGAAGAAGCATACATTGCCTGTTCTACAGCAGTTGTCTGTCTGGAAAGTGGGGTTCAGATTCCTGAGTCGTCTTGCACAAACACTAAAGTTACTCTTACAAAACAATGTGTCTGCAGCTGTTTAAGCATCTTCAGATTGCTTCTGCAATGGTGAAGTCAGTTGTGTTAGTCCACTTCAGGACAGTGTAGTTTGCTTTGCATAAGCAAAGAGTGGGAAGAAAAGTAGAAAAGTAGATTTCTGTTAATTGAAACATATTCTAATGAACGTGTGGACAAGAAAGCTTGACCCTTCCCATTGGTTTTGTGTGAAAATTTTTCAGCAATTTGCATTCGTAAGAATAACTGCATTTATTTTGCTTTTTCTGAAGTATTCTCCTCTGTTTTGGAATTTATGAAGCAATTGTATGACCCAGCTATGTAATCACTGAGGAGGGTACATACGTTGCGAGCAAAATGGAAGCACACATGGGTAGAATCTGGGATCAGAAATTTAATCAGACTACACCTGCTAATATGTTCATCTACCTGTCTTGTAAGATTCTGACGTGCTGCACGAGTGACGTGTTCTCTAAGCATTAGTCTGGAGTTTCCCTCTGGATAATCAGAATTGACAGCTGTGGTCAGCTGGGCTCAAAATCTGAGGGCTCAGTTTTGTGAAATGTTACCGTGATGGTCTGTTAATCTCCTCCTCTGTGAATGCAGCCAACGCTGACAACATTAACATTTTCAACAGAAAGACAGCACTGTCATTTTCAGGTATCAGTAGTGCGTAGGGGCATATAAAGAAAGTTTAGAGAATGTGAATGATTGGATTAATTATATAACTGGTGATTACCTGAATGATCACAAGAAGGCGTTACTCACAGAGTTCAATAAGGAGTAGAAATGAACAGTTGTCCCGCACTGTAACTGCTCTAGAAGCAATACGTAAATTCCTTTGGATGAAAAAAGGCTACATTTGGAGACCTTCTTATGTAAAACCGCTGGCTGGTACAGTCATGCGTTGCCAGTTTTGCAGCTAGCGTGATAACTTAGGAATTTCCTAATTTAGTGTTTACATACAAAACTTTCCAGTTACATTGTTTTTTTAACACAGAATAAATTATTTTATTACACAGGGGTTTTTTTTAAGTCCACTGTATAATTTGAAGAACGTAGAGCTAAGGATGCCTGGTTTTCTATGGATTTGCGTCTTGACATTTACCTCATGTATTATAACTCCTTGGTATCTAAAATGTGCATTACTCTGATACTGCAGGCAGTATTGAGGTGTCCATTTGCATGAGGAATTTTTAAGTACTCTCTGCCCAGAATGAAGCTGGTCATGGTTAGCCAAGGGTCTGAAAAGTTACTACGGTGGGAATTCACCTGTGCTCCATACTTGTATCCTGTAGGAATACCAGGCTAAAATGCCTGTGCTTATTAATTTAATTCTGTATGAACAGATCTATCCCTTAAT